TAATGAATGGAGAATTTTATACAGAAATATTGGATAAGCATCTCCTGGAAGTGCGCAATATGTTACAAGGTAATTGGCAGCTGCAACAAGATAATGATCCTAAGCATAGAAATCTTATTGCTAAGGATTTTCTTGATAAAAATATTCCAAATATTATGGATTGGCCTTCTAATAGTCCAGACCTAAATCTTATTGAAAACCTTTGGATAATTATTAAAAGGAATGTGGAGTTGCGTAGGCTAAAAAATCTTAGTGAATTAAAGCGTTTATTGGAAGAGGAGTGGAGAAAAATTTAAAATAGTCTTCTAGTTAATCTTGTAAATTCAATACCTCAACGTTGTAGGGAGGTTATTGAAAAAAATAGTGAACGAATATCGTATTAATTTTTTTTTAATAAATTTACTACTTCTCAGCTTTAAAATGATGCATTAAACATTTTAATTGACGCAATACTTGTGAATCTATCGTGATTTTAAAAAAGTTCATTTTTTTTGCACACCACTGTATCTATATTTAGTTAATTTATAGTATAATAAGTAATTAACTTAGTGTTAAATTTTAAACATATTTTTTGATTTTAAATATTTTAGACAAGATTTTGAACATAGAAAATTATATCTATAATTTATTTAAAACTATCTAACATTATTCAATTTCTAATACTAAGTTAACTGTAATAAATTAATTTTGTATAAATATAATAGCTTTTTGCTTAAGTTGTAAATTAATTTTCTTATAAGTTTTATAACTTTTTTGCAAGTTCAAATTATTAATAAAAAAATCAATTTAAAACTACATAATTTACTTTTTTTTTCAATGTATTTTCATTTAAAATTTATTATAATATCCTATAATAATTTACTTTTGAGTTTGTTTAATTAAATAAATTTTAAATTTTAAATTGCTAAGTTGATTTAAATATAACAGATACCTGTAAAACTTAAATAAATCCTAAGATTATAAACTCTAACAAATACAGTCAACTCTTGTTATAACGAACTCTATGTCTTAAACCTCAACTTCGCTATAAGGCTATAGTGAAGATTTTAAGAGATTTGATTGGCCAATTCGCTATAACAAGAGTATTTTTATTATATTTGTTTAAAAAATTCATTATATCAAGAGTTCACTATATCAAGAGTTGACTGTAGAATCAATTATTATATCTTTTAATTAAAACATTAAGATTACTAAAATAAATCTAATAATAGTATAAAAATTTTAAGTTTCTAGATAATTAATAAAAATAAAACTGATAAAATACAATACAATATAATTATTAGTAATTTAATCTATATATTAATATTAAACAAATCTTAAACTAATCTTAATATTATATAATTTCATTTAATAAATTTAATCATCTTGTATTTACTAAGAAATTTTTAAATATTAATATAATTAATAATTTTATTATTTTAATAAAAATAATGTTTTTTATTTTTTAATATATTATTTTAATAATATTATTTTAACAAATAATTTATAATAATTTTTTTTAAATTATAATATTTTTTATTAATTTTAATAATAAGTAAACAAGTTATATTTTTAATATTATAGTTTATTATTTAAATATTTTTTTTTTATAAATCTTTTAATTTGATTAACTTTCAAAAAAAATTATCAAATAATATTGATAAATTTTTTTAAAATATTTTAAATAATTTTAAATATTATTTTATTCTAAATTGTAAATTAAAATTGTTTAAATAGTAAATGATTTTATAAAATATTATTTTATAATTGTAAATAGTTTACTTTTTTTTACATTTAGTAAATAATATCTTAAATTTTAATCTTTATATTATTTATTGGTAATTTTTTGTATATAGTATATTGTATACAGATCATATAATAAGATTAGCATTAATATTATTTTCACTAGCATTAAAAAATTAAGAAATTAGTCATGTAACAGATAGAGTGTGAAGAATAATAATTTTTTACTAAAAAAATTATAAGTCCCTATAATAAATAGTAAAAACTAAAGATGAAAAGATATAGCATTAGTGACAAATATATTAATTATGTGATTCAGATACTTAAACTTAGAAATTTTTTATTTTATTAGATTTTATATATAGTTTTAATATTTTAATATACTTTATAATTTTTAAAATTATTTTTTTTAAAAAATTTATATCTTTTTCTAATTTAATAAAAATTAAAGTTATATTATGATTAAATATAATAAATATTACAAAAAAATTAAGAATTAAAAAGTATATAATATACAATAAAATAAAAAAAAAATTAAATTATTACAAACTTTTATAAAATTAAAATTTTCTTTAAATATAAATAGAAATTTATTATTATTATTATATTATTATAATATAAGTTATATATTTTCTGATAAAAATAATTTACTTTTCTAATTTTTACTTTTTAAATATTAAAATAATGAAAAAATTAAAAATATCAAATCGTTTAATAATAGAATATGATTTTACCTTTTTAATGATAAAAATTGCAAGCAAATTTGCTTACAATTTTAATAAATAAGTTTTTAATTTAAAATTTTACTAATTAACCTATTTTTTTTTTATTGGATGTTTACTTAAATTTAATTTTAAAATATTAATTTTAAAAAAGTTTGCAATCAATTAACTCTATTTAAAATAATAATCAATCCTAAATTTAAATATAACATTTAAAGATTTATTTATAAAATTAATAATATTTAATTGAATATAAATATAAATCTAAAAATATTTCTGTCAATCATCCCATATAAGTTCATTATGTGTTTCACACGATATTATTAAATCACTTTCTGCAAACCTTTTTTCTAAATATTATTCTGCCTTAAACCCTCATCTTTTTTTTACTCTTTTTGAATTTCTTTCAACTCAATTCTTTTTTAACTTTGTGCAAAGTGCCAATTGTTTAAGCGAAATAAATATATCGTGGCTCTAACGATGGAGAATGGTTATAAGTGTCTGCTATTAAGTAAGTTTTCATTTAAATGTTTAATACCAAACGGTATATTATGTGTCTATAAAAGTACTTATTTCCTGGTGAAATTATCTTCTTGACTCTAATTCTCTATGACTTTTGAAGTAAAAGTACTATTCTTCTTTGATAATACTCATAACAATCAAAAAATAACAAACTTCATTTACTTGCGGGAAATATTTGGTATTTTTATATCTAACCAAATTTATTATTTTATTTTTTTTTTTTCAAAGAATTACAAACCCATGTAATAAGAATTTGGTCTAACAACAAGAACATGCCTCGACAGACTGTAACTTATCAAAAGTCCGTTCAATGCTTTGGCAAAATGTTCGACCAAGCAAAAGCGCTCAGACGATGGAGTCTTGAGGCGCAAATTAATATTTGATTGGAATTATACATAATGCGCCCCTGTATTAGACGATGATGGAAGTCTTGAGGCGCAAATTAATATTTGATCGGGTTTAGGTAGAATGCGCCCCTGATTTGACGGCGATAGAGCCTTGAGGTGCAAATTAATATTAGTTGTTGTTCCTTTTTATTATCGGAGGTGGAATATGCGAATTATTTTGGCAGAAATCAATTTAAATTTTGTTTATATATAGGACATCAGTTTGGCTGCAAATTTTTACAAGGTTTTAGACAAGAGGAGAAGGGTGAAGCAAGAAATATATAGATGATGTTTTGAAATGGTGGATTAATATTTGTAATTGCTTAAATTAATTTTTGATAGTTTTTCAAGTATGATTATACTATTTGTTTATAATAAATACTTTTAGTAAATTTACAATAGCGAAAAATTTCATGAAAAGTGCATCTTGCTCATTAAGATGAATGCAGTTTATCAAATACGTTTATGGTAATAAATTTTCCTATTATATCACGAAAGCGAAATAATTAATATGTGATTTGTAACGCATATAAACTTTTTGAACAGTTTTTTTTTTGTAAATAATTTTAGTAAAACGCCAATCTTAATGCATTAATTTAGTCGATTTTGGGGTTAGTGATAAAATTTGACGAGCTAATTTAATAAATAACCATTCCCCGAAATTTATTCGTGATGTTCTAGATTATCTACATTTTCTTGGACATCATTTTTTAACTGAATTTGATTTTCCGTCTGAATTTAAAAGAAATTAACGATAACGTTAAATTACGCCTCACCTCAAATCTAATCCGGTAAAAATTTAATTTTTGAGTTTTTTTACGATATAATATTTATATAAAATATTTCATTTATTGATCGGGTAGTAATTAACATATATACAAATATGCGCGTGACATAACTCATACTCAAATATTTCAAATTACTAACTAATCCATTTAACGCGACACAAAAGGTAAATAGACTTAGTCTAAAATAATATAAGTTGTTTTTACAAAAGTAAATTAAATAAAAATAAATGTATATGTATATATAGACAGAAATCTAATAACTAAACCAACACTTTTTTTTTTTACATTATATTTAAATTATAAATTAGGCACAGGATATTTAATGTCAGGTATAGGAACAGAAATTTTTTGGTTTGTAAATCCAATCAATACCCCAGATAAATAATTCAACGTCAACTCTAAGTCTCAAAGGAGGAGCATTTTGGTTTGGAACCAGTAGCAATAGATCGTTGTTTGCCGCTCTATCAAATACCTAAAGTTCGAATAGAAAAATGTTTAATAAAAACAAAATAAATGATGATTCCCATCATCAAAATATGGTTAAAAATAACCTCAACTTACCGCAACATCAATTTATTGAATTTATATGGAACCCAATTTGCATGATTATCAATTTTAATAATCATATTAAAGCTCAAATCAATGTAAGGAGGATTTGTACTGAGCGTGGTAGTGTTACGGGTACAGTTTCTTTAATATCAACATAAGGTTTGCGAGGCCAAACAAAAAAAATGCAGTAATGCCCAAACCAATTAAGATCAATATAGTAAATAAGATCAAATTGACCAAGAACAACATCACTTTTTCGTTTTTTCTCAGGTCTAGCAAAGTTACTGGCATTCAAAGATTGACGCGCATTTTTACCACCACCGGGAAATCTCTTTCAGATATTCATTTTCATAATGAATTGGGTATCCTGAAGTAAGGGTATTATGACGGATTGCTGCTGCTTCATAATTTTGATCATCATAACGATGAAAATTATTGTATTGGGAAATATTGCCGTTATTCTGATTCTGACCATCTCCCGTACCATCAAAATTGTACGTTTCCCTATCCACTAGCGGAGTTGAAGTCTCGATTACTTTCTCTTTTCGTGTACGTTGTGTCCGTTGGTCCTTCTCTGTTTCACCTATATATTGTGAATTTCCAATTTCCAAATGGTAATTGACGCCGAGAATTCGACGCATCATTTGTTGTTGCCGCTTGATCATGATTAGAAAGTGAAGAATTTATTGAAGCAGCATCATCATAAGCACTTAAGGTTGGATTAACGCGAGGTGTCCCATTTTCTTGCGAGAAAAAAGGATTATTTTTTCCTTCGCGCCTAAAGTTGAAATATTCGAAACATCCGAGTTCAAAAAAAAAACCTTTGTAAATTTGTATTGTAACAAAAGTCTGAGAACGTAAAATTATATAGGGTGAATAGGGGACAAGCATTATAAATAGAATTAACATTTTTGGCGCAGAAAAATCATTTAATAATTTAAAAACATAAATCACACGTTTACTTACTTTGATTTCTAAAAAGTGAACATAGCTCTTCGTCCGTAAGAGCATGTCTCTATATAAATCTGTCGTTCGCAACACTTTTAAATATACATATATCTTAAATTTACATATGTTAAAGTATTAGTTAATTTCAAAAGATACAACTCATTTATGCGTTTCTTAAAATATACGTACCATATGCTCGCATGATCTAAACGTTACGAAGTCTTGGCAGGAGCATTTTGGCCTATTTGATATATCGACTCTGTATGTTTTGTATCTAGTGGTAGACTTGCAACAAAAAAAAAAAAAAAAAAAATTTCAATAAAGGTTAATCGGTAAAAATCAGTGAATCTGTCATAGAACATACATTCCGACGGAGTCCCTTTATTTTGAACCTTTGATGCAGCTCATCAACTATAATTGGTTGGTCAAGGATATTGTTCGATTTCTAACATTTCGTTCATTACGACGGAGAAAATGCCGAACGTGCTGTAATTATATAAAAAAAAAAAAAAAAAATTAAAAACTGATATTAAATATATAATTATTTAAATTACTCACCCTTGGAAAGCTTCTACCAATACATGGTTCTTCTCTTTCAAGAACGTTATCGTTAACAAGTGGTTCTTCTCTTCCAAAAACATTAATAATAATTGTCATTTTGAAAATTTTTTTATGAAAATTGCGGCGTTTGTAATAAATGTAAAAATTGGGAAAAATAAAAAAGACATGTAGTCAATATATATATTACAGACTTCGCGTTCGGACAAACTTTGTTTTGTTTAAGTCGTGCGCGTGCGGACAACCACGCGACCTTATATAAGATCTTTTGATATTTAGATTCGACGCTGCTCTTGATTTTAGAAATATTTGCATTTTTAACTTTTATGAAGCTGCCCAAGCAGCTGATTCCATTGATGACAGATGTTGATGTCAAGGACACCGAGAAATACTGGGATTAAATTAAGATAATAAGAAACTAAACCCTGTTCGAAAGTTAATTAATAAATCAATCAAATAGAAATTCAAACTTACTATCATGTTCAATTCCATTTAACACTTAACATTGTCAGAAAGTTAAATTCTTGATAATAACCCCATGATAAAAAGAGCAACATTAATATATTATAATGAAGATAAAGAGAAATATAAATATATTTTTTATTTACCATTCAGAGTTAAAAGTTCCAATGCTATATGGTCCAATGATGACAATGATGACACTGGCATCTATTGTGTCTTTCTCATGCAGGAATAATTTAGATTTTCATGTATGCACTTTATGAACTATGTAGTACAACTACTAATATGTAAAAGTTTTAACGATCCGGTAGATATGCTACATAAAAATGATTTGAATATTATATCATCTTCAAGATAATTGCAATAAAATCAATTGAATAAACTAACCAATAACAATAAATTAGCACAATCTTTAATAACGACGAAATTCACTACAACTATACTTGTCCAGTTGATAGTTTCAACAATCTATTTCCGTGATTTCATTGGAAAAGGTCGAGCCCATTACTGTTCGAATTCGTTTTTATTAGCTCCAGTAGTTGAAAGTGACGTGTAATTTCGGCAGCATCAAGGTAATGAAGATTATCTAATTTGTATCAATAGCATTTTACTAAATCTAAGGATGATTTGTCTAACATTATTAATATTGCCAACAACTTTTATAATTTTAATGAAATCCAGGTTAATTGGTTTAAATCAACACTCTTAATTAATAAATCAACAACCTGAACTATTAATTATGGTTCTTCTATTACTATTACTCTGAATAAACCTAAAGATAGATCTTGTCAGCCTTTTTTTGTCAAATCAAATGAAAATATTTTGAACATTTTCTCATTTTTAAAAAATATGTCAATCTTGAAAAAATTTGAGTTATCAATATCCAGTTTGCATATATATGATTTTAACATAGAAACTATAATTGATATAGCAAAGATTTTGCCTAAACAAATATACTATATCAATCTTTTAAAGATTATAATAGTTTGGTGAAGTGTGAAAAATTTTTAGAATATTTTTTGGCAGATCTCAACTATTTTTATGTCAAATTTTCACAATATTATTTTTTTAAGTTGATAGACATAGAATTTGTTAAAAATTGGTCAACAAAAAATGAAAAGAAGATTAAATTTTTAATATTGTATAGTATAATATTAACCTAAATAGTAGAGAAGATAATTTTATGTAAATGTAAATTGTGATTTATTTTGATAAAATAAAAATAATATAGATTTTCTATTGTTTTCTTTAATAAAAATTATAATAAGTTATAAAGATTATCTATTATTATAATATTAGAATTCAGATGAATATTAAAATTTATTCTTTTCTTTAAGATTATTATCTAAATCATTATATATTTTTTTAATTTCTGTTTATCAATTAAACTTAAAATTTTTACATACTTACATAAGTACATCATAATAAGAATCTAAATAAAAAAATAAACTTAATTTAAAAACAGATACTGAAAGTGAATATTTTTGATCTTTGAGATCATTATATTTAAACACTTTAAATGAATTTTTGTAAAATCTGATATTTACAATTCATTTTGATGTTGTTTATAACCAATAAATCTTGAAGGTAACTGAATAATCGAATCACCTTCATAATACAGTTAATTTACTATTATATAATCAGCAAATTTTGAATTACTAACTTTTGGTTTACTATATACAATTTACTATCATCTAAACTATGTCTTGAAAAAATGATCTTATACTTTAGATTTTTTTATGTAATTTTTAGATTTAATTGTAAATGTCAAATTGAACTTTAAGAAAAGTTTGATAAAATTCAATATTGTAACAGGATTGGATTGACGAATATGGCACAGTATATTGCAAATCTAAATGTTAGATATATCAGACATATTTGATATATTTGATATACTAAACATATTTGATATAATTAATATCTTTGACATATTAGACATATTAGATAGATTTGATTTATTTGTTATATCTGTCTATATATTAATTTAATATAAATAGAGAGCAATAAAATCATGTAAACGGTAGATTGTTTGTAATTTACTTTTAGTTTTTCTTTGGTTTTGCTTTTAGATACACATCTAGTAATCCTTGTAGAGGCGCCTGACCTAATATCTCACTTAGTATTTTAACATTTTGGATTTCGTTTATTCTTTTTTATTTATATATATATATTATTATTATCTTTTATTTTATTATTTATCGTCAATAAACATATTATTATACCTCTGAATCAATTGAGCTGCCTTGCTCCTAGCCTTGTCGTGAATACACTACTGTGTAGATTATAAATCTTGAGATAAACTGAATTGAGTCGCTACGTAAACTTAAAAGAATTATCACTTAAACACTCTGTCTAGCTGTTGCAATTCGCAAGGATTGCACATTAACATTTGGTGACAACGACAGGACTTCCTTTTTCTATTTATATAGTATTATAAAAAACACCCTATAAATAACTTTAGAAAATTGATAAAATACCAAAGAACTCATTCTTCTATACACAACAAATCAGAGCGTAACTTTGAAAAAGCTGCTATTTCTGTTCTAACTAACAATCTATCTTGTGTTACTTGTAACCCACCCCAAAGGAAATTTCCCAATCTTTTCTTAATTATTTTGAATGGGCACAGAAAGTCTTAGAGGCAATATTATATACTAGCAAAAGTTTAGAAACCTTTCAAATTGCAACCTCTGCAGAAACTATTAGTATACAAGAAATATATTATAAGCAGATACTTAAAACTTTGAGATATAAGCAAGTACTAATTTCAATCTTTGAGCGAGCTATCGAATACTATTTTTGAGCTATAGAATGAATAAATCCCAAACAAGCCGTAGAAATAATACTACATCTGAATTAGTAAAAGAAAATCTGATTTCTCAGACAAGATACTCACCCGAGAATACTATCATTGCAAATACTACTCCAAGTGGAAAAGATCCTAAAAAATGAATACTAAGCTTCGATAACTCTACTTTTAGCTCATATGAAGAAACCAGAAGGCCGCCTAAACTGATCTATACAAAATCTTCTAATAAAGAAGACACCACTGCTGATCAGAAGAATGTTTGCTCTTCACGTTTCTCAAGACCAAAAACTGATCATTCACGAGACTCACCTAAAAATAAAAAATCGAAGGGCAAGAGAAATAGTAAACCAAAGAGCCGTCGCTCTCCTTCCTATTATGATAGTTCCTCACCTTCTTCTAGTTATAATTCTAAAGATAGTGACTTAGAGAATGATGACGAGGATCTTTTTGATACCGATAATGCTAAAGACAATGATGAAAGAAATTTCTTCTAGATGATGAAAGGTCTTCAGACTGTCTTTAAAAATGTTGGATTTGAAAGATCATGAGAAGTTAAGTTGTAGACTTATCAACATTTAAGGGTAGAGATCAAGACCCTAGAGAATGATTAAAAAGATATAATCATGCTGAAGATACAAATGGAATTTCTGATAAGTGATGCCTTACATTAGTTTCTTCATTTCTAAAAGGATCAGCCCTTACTTAGTATAATAAAACTAAGAATGAAAAAGATTTGTGATATTGGGATAATTCTTGCGATCGATAACATAAACACTGATCCTTCATTTATCACTTCTTAAAGCATTATTATATAACACATAAGAGAACCCAATAGCGTTCTACACTTAGACGATGCAAGTAACACCTTAGATAATCTGTTGAATATTATGCTGCAGACATTAAGTCGTTATACCTCAAACTTGACCCAGATTATAACACACTAGAAGACGAGAAAATTGAGCAGTTCTTGCAAAAACTTTGACCTGAGTTCTTGACTGCAGTAGCTGCTGCTGCATCTCGTGATTTAGAAGTAATTGATTGAGCTCGAGCTGTTGAAGCTATTCTCTTTAAGAATAGCGTTCTTTCAGGATATTCTTTCAGTAAAACCTATTTGAACCAATATGATGAGAAAACAGAACGAGAAAAGACTCCTAATATGCAACAATTAATTAAGAAAAGTAACGAAAAATTGATGAAAAAAGTCAAACAACTATTAACTACCACTGCCACCAACCTGTGCACAGATAATAATAATCATCCAATATATAATAATAATAATTGGAGAAACAGTAACCACAATAGCAGTCAAGTATGCTATAATTGTAACTGACCTAAACATATTGCAAAAAATTGCAGAACATGAAATAGTCAAGGTGACAATCGAAATAATTTTCAACAGAATAGAAATCATGCATATCAAAATGAAAATAGGTGTTTTACCTATAAGCGAAGGGGACATATGGCTAAAAATTGTAATGTCATACCTACTGGACCCTGTTCACACTGCCACTAGCTTAGGCATTGGGAAAACTTATGTCCAACAAAACTGATACCAAATTTCTATAATAGTCAACCACAATCCAGTCAAATAAGTCAACGAGCTGCCTTATCACAAGAAAGTTCTATGTATTATACTTTAAATCCGTTTTTACCACCTTTTTCTTCACAACCTTCTATGACGTTTTCTTTTAATAATACCTTTACCACTACTAGCAACCCTTCTAATCCATTGAATCAGTCTTTAAACTACTAAGGGTACCTCTAGAGGGTGAGAATACCAGTTATTATTTAAATCCCTTGAATGAAATTGATATACTTAAGGCTGTAG